CCACCTCGCAGCCCATGGGGACGCTCATTATGCCTAAACTTAAAGGAATGAAATGTCAATTTGTAAACAGGTGAGGTGTGTGACCTTGCTGCTTGGATGAGACTATGGAAATATTTCAGCAATTATTCAATAGCTTTCCTACAAGATGCTAATATAGCAGCTGCCAAATGCCCCGTCATGTGGCTCCAGGGAGCCTTCTTGCAATAAGAAGGCGGTAATTCTGGTTCAGGCTGACCCCTCCGTGTTGAATGTGACCTTTCAAGTAGCATATGTGCTGAATCATTGAGGCTGCTTCAAAATGCAGTCATCTCCCTCTCTAAGCCCGTCTAAGCCTTTGTCGGCGTGGTAATAGAACAAGCTCCTAAATGGGATTGTAAACTGTGCCTTGACCCCCCCCAAGGGCACTCGAAACTAGTCGCCATATCACGTTTATTAGCTTATTAAATCGTAAAATGATTCTGAAGCTGAGGACTCATTTCAAATGGTGCACGAGGCGAGCCAGTGAGCTCACCCACTCAACTTTTAATCTAACGGCTGCATCCCTGCTCGGTCACTCTACTGCCCTCAAAAGCATAATGGGAGCTAACTGTTAATCAAAAGGCTGCTGGAGGAGGAATTAAATGCACACAGTGGTAGGTTGTTTTTTTTTTTTTTTTGAACAGAAACCAACGGGAGAAAAGAAAAGCAGGCGCTAATTAAAGACGCATTAACTGGTTATCATGAGTTGACATATTTTGCTTGATCTTTTTTTCCTAATCAGCAGTAATGAACGAAGCGTTCTCCATCCACCGGGTATTACATGCTACGTTTCAGTGAGCAGTAAAATTAGCTGATGGCCCCCGAAGCTAAGTTGAACTGATGAAGCTTCGGTAGGTTTGATTACGGTTCTTGTACTGTACTTAATAGAATGCTGTCTCCTCTTTAGATTCTTATTCACATTAGAGATGTGACTAACCCCAAATTAGTCACTGCTGGAAATATCAACTCATAGCCATCTGCCGCCACACAGAGAACAACCGTGGTTAACTGTCACCGCGACTGCTGTAATCACGGTTTCTGCTACCATAAATGCTTACATTCAAATCTAAAAATATTTAAGTGCCTTCTGCTCGCACAATGCCACCCCGCTACTGCACTCAATTAGCATACCCAATAAGCTTGCATTAATGCATTTCTTAAAAATACTGATGCCAGACCGCTGCTTGCCTGTGAATATACTGGAGAAGATCAGGCCTCCGGATCAAAGCTGTTGTTTGGCCACGGTGACAGTTGTCCTGTTTGGTTCAGACCAAAGAAGGCTTTTCATGGTGGTGGAAAGGTTATGGTTTGGGGTTGCTTCGCTGCCTCGGGGAGTGGGCAGCTTGGAGTCACTGATCCTACCGAATTTTGCATCATATGAAAGAGTGCGTGAAATTAATGTGAGACCATCTGTCTGAAAGTTCAACATCAGGCATTAGACTGATAGACTTAAATGAGATGCGGCAAAGAAAAACACGTTTTATACAAAAAGCACGTTGGGTCGTGGATTTAGATCTAAAATGTGAGGTAAAGACTGCACTTATCAAAGTGATGCCAAAGTCTGGACAACAATGTGTGTTGTGAATAATTTGTAAAAATCTCCATAAAATATGCTATATGTCTTAAATAAATATGGAAATATTTAAAAGAGTCTATTATAAATACATTTCATACTGATCTTTACTGTCCACTTGTTTTTTTTTTTCTTCTTCTTCTTCCTACCAAAGCTTTAAATCATCAAATAATCAATTTCCAGTACAGCTGAGAAGACTGCATCCTCTAAGGAGGAGGCTGAAGGCTCTTAGAAGAATTAATAAATCGAAATAAGTCGAAATTTGCATTTACAGCCTTTTACAGCCAGGTTAGGACGACTAACGGAGTTGACGTGATTCCCGTCATAGCTCGAGCCAGCATCACATTAAGCAGAGGCATAACCAGCTGGAAACACCTGTGTGAGCGTACAGGGCTTAAAAATCATTACAATTAATCTGGGACATGATTGACTGTGTGTTCTCCTGCTAGTGACGGTTCAAGAAAAGTATGGGGTCACAAAAGTCATTAGTCTCTGGGATCCGTCTGCGCCAGGAAATCCATCTAACAGTCGTCGAGAAACCAAAAACAGTGGCACTAAAAGGGAAAGTCTGGAGATCACAATAAAAGGCTTTTTAATTGTTATTGTGACAAAAGTGGTGGACCAACTCAAACTGATGAGATGCATGCAGTGTTATGTAGTAAAGATCTTGACTTGACCAGCTGCTCAAAACTCCAGGATGGGGACTCACATGTCGGTAATGTGGAAGGTGCATGTGCATGACTTCAGATCCCACCATCACTGGTACAATCATATATAGAAGCTCGAGTG